TCTCTGCACAAAAGACCTGCCATCTTCTTCTAAGCATTTCTCTTTACCATTCGAGTCGTTTATTTATTCTTTTAAATCTTAATAAGGAAGCACCTAGGTGGATTCGTGATACAGGCAATAATGAACAAGATAGGTTTAGTGCAATAAAGAATGTTGTATGATCATCTTTAAAAATATATTGGGACAGACCTGCGGAATTTGAAAATTTTTCACTGTTTTGATTAAACTTATTCCATAAATTTGTTAACGGTTATTGGAATAAATGCAAGCATCAAAATATTATATACATTTGGTCACGTCCGTCATCTTTATGAGAGGGTTTTCAATAAAAGGAATTTTGCCACATAAAAGTCCTTTTTCATATTCACCATAGAGATCTCTAACAGTTAACTGAAAATGGTACTATTACATGGTCAATCCTATATGACCGTTATATTGAAGAGATTAATATTGATCCAATTGACTTACTTGGGATTCCTGTAGATAATGAAGAAGATAAAGTTACTAAAGAAGAAAGTCAAGATAAATGTAAATATAATCAGAAGGAATTCAGGCATGAGTGGATGCTTCTTGCAGAAATGGATCCAGATGCAGTTATTAATTATTCCACTGATTTATGATCTTGCAACATAGATCAAAATCATAACTGGCTTAACCATACTAAACAGCACTATGATAATATCGATCTTGCAGATGCTAGTACCTTTGTGCAATGAGTTTCTGGAAATAATATGAATGATTCTATAATGGCAGTAAATAAAGATATGGATATTTTAGATAATATGACTTTAAATGAAAAACAGAATATAATCTTTAAGCGAATAGAGTCATATTATCACAATATACTTACAGGTCTTCATGTTAAGCCACTAAGAATCATCATTATAGGAATAGCAGGGATAAGAAAATCTCTCCTAATTAAAGTAATCCAAAGTAAGCTTCAAAGGATAGCAAGAGAGATTGTAACACATGTACTTGTACTTGTATCAACAGAAGTTGCAGCCTTTAATATAGGAGGGATGACAATTCATTCAGCATTCTCTATACCTAATAATAATAATAATAATAATTTTAATATAAATGGTGAATAGCTAAAACAATTACAAAGGTAAAAAATATACACTACTTTATTATCGATGAAAAAAGTATAATCGGACGTAGAATGCTTGCTTTAATCAACATACAATTACATCAAGCATTTCCCGAATACAATAATAAACCTTTTAGTGGTCGATCAGTTATTTTGTTTGATAACTTTGGTCAGCTTCCACCAGTGCTTGATCTCCCAATATATACTAATAATCAATGAGATTCGTTATCTAATAATGGTTCTATGGTATATAAACAATTTTGGGAGGTATATAAATTTGACATGATTCAATGTCAATTCGGGGATTGTGAAGAACAACGAAGCTTTAGAGACATTCTCCTGCAGTTGCGCAATAGGAAATTCACTTTAGCAGATTGAAAAATGCTTACCACAAGACTTGAAGATAAACTGTCAAGAACAGAACATATTCAGTTCTCAAATGCTATATTTATTTTGTCGAAGTGATCTGATGTTGACATAGTTAATATGGATAAGCTTAGATCCTTAAATTGTCCTGTTGCAAAAATTCTTGCAGTATATACTGGTGGTCATGAGGCTAGAAATACTAACTCTGATATGGCAAAAGGTCTTGAAGCACAGCTGTTATTAGCCAGAGGTACACGTGTCATGTTAGTAGCAAATCTGTGGATGGAATGCGAATTGGTCAATGGCTCAATGGGAACAGTCCAAGACATTCTGTTTGGAGACCAGGGACTATTTTGCCTTCCTATAGTGGTTTTCATTACCTTTGATAATTATAAGAACCCTACTGTTACTGCTTTAGATGGTACAAAAGTCATCCCAATTACATCATTTTGATGTACCTGGAAGAGTAAAACTGGTGCATCCTGTTCACACTTACAGATCCCTATTTATCTTGCGTGGGCTATTACCATATATAAAAGTCAAGGACTTATTTTACAAAAAGTTATAATAGATTTTGGGGAAAAAGAATTTGCTGCTGGTCTTTCGTTTGTAGCAGTGTCTTGGGTTCGTGCTCTTAAAGATATTTTATTTCAACCCTTCAATTTCGAAAAACTTCAACATATTAAGAATTGTAAAAAAATGCAAGATAGAAAGGTTAAGGAAGAATGATTAATTTTCATGTAATTGTAGTATAATAATAAATAAACTAAACTAAATAAAAATAATAAATAAAGTTGATCATTGATGATCGACAAAAAAAAAATATTTTTTTTTATTTTTTTCAATCATTATAATCACATGACAGACGAACAGAAATCCTCATATAATATTGTCAATCACAGTTTGTAGAGAATATATATGTTCTACGCTATGCTCTGAACAATAATTTTGTTATAAGGAAAAAAAGGTAAAAGATAAGTCTAATTTTTTTTTTATTTAATAAACCAATTTTTATCTTACCTTTAACTGAGATATAAAAAAGAACAAAGAGATTAATACCAAATCATAAAAAACATATCCAATATATATGGCTTGAGTTATAGTTAATGGTAGCAAAAAGATATTCAGTATTTCACTCTTCATATAGATTACATCAAACATGATATTTACTTCCTTGCTGGAATTGAATAAAGATAGACTCATTGCTCCAAACTACTTTTTTGAAGTTCTGAATGGTTTAGTCTTTATGTGCAAGACATCAAGTAAGTCGATCTTCAATATTTTTTCTAAAAGGAAGAGCTTGGGATAGATAATACAGCTTCTTAACTATTCTTCATGCAGAATTTAACGAATGGTTTTTTCAGATATTTTGATTTTTATTTTGACTATAAAAAGATTGATTAGTTTTGTAGCAGTAATATATTTGTTACCCTTTTTGCCAATAACAAGTTTTTTAAGAATAGTATAAGCATGCTTATTGAGAAGTCATAGTCATTCTGATTATCGTGTTCCTGATTCTATAGATCCAGTTTCAATAAAATACTTTATAATGTTATCTATTATACTTTTTTTGCATTCAATATTGGCTACAATATTATGATAGGTATTTTTTTTTTGTAATGATAAATTATAGTTGCTTTTTATTTAAAAGTTAATTCTTTATTAGCAGGTATTAGTGATTACATGAAAATTGAAATGAAATTTTTAAATAAATAAAAAAAAAATTTTTTTTTATATAATAATACATTTTTATAAATTGAATATGTTATACTTATATATTGGGTATATTTTTATTAAAAAAATTTAATTAGTTATTAAATTAAATTTTATTTAAAAAAAAAAAAAATTGTCCATAAACTTTTGTTCACCCTCTGTAAAAAAAAGTTTTTAATTGAAATAAAAGATATTAAATATATTGTATTTATAAAAAAATTTTTTTATTTATATTAATTTTATTATAAATATATATAATATTTTAAAAAAAATAATTTGATTTGCCTTTTATATAACTTTTATATAACAAAATAATTGTATAAAATTTTAATCTAATTTATTTTTAAATTATTAAATAAAATATAAAAATTTTTAAATTTTTATATATTGTATAAAGGGTATCAAAAGTTATTGAACAAACTTTAAAAATTTATATCCAGCTATATATATATAAATAAAAAAAATTTTTTTATACAATAATTACTGAAATATTAAAAATTTTAAAAAAGTTTAAAAAATTACTCAAATTGAAAATAAAGATCACTTGAGAAATCAAATTAAAGTAACTTATTTAACTTTTTTTTTTATACAATTTAATATTTAGTAAAACCCCCTTTAACCGTGATGTATGCTTTTACATGTCATGGCATGCTGTCTATTATCCGTTGACAAAGTTGACATAATATATTTTTTCAGGCTTGCAGAACAAGATGATTAAGTTCCATAAGATTGCTTGGTTTCGTTCTATATCGCCATACTGAGTTTTTTATCTCGTGCCACAAGTTCTCTATTGGGTTTAAATCAGGACTTTGCGTGAACCAGTTCAAAACTCGAATCCCATGGTCAGCAAAAAAATTATTGGTGATCTTTGCCATATGTAGTCTTGTATTATCTTGTATGAAATATGAGTGACCATAATTATCAATAAAAGAAAAACGATCAAAAATCGGAATAAGATGTTCTTGAAGTATATTAATATATGAAGACACCTTTACAGAGCCATCAAGAAGGATAAGGGGACTAATACTGTACCAAGAAAAACAACCCCAGTACATTTGACTTGGACTATGCTTAATGGTACTGATTAAACATTCAATTTTCTATTCTTTTTATGGCTCATGCCATATCTGACAGCAGGATCCCTGCTGAAAAAGGGATATCGTGGACTCATCAGATCAGAGCACATATTGAAAATGCTAAGTGATCCAGTTTTCATACGTCAGATATCAATTAAGTCAGTTTTCAAATTGACTTTGGAAATAAATGGCTTTAATTGAATTTTTTTTATCCATCATCTTTAAAAAGATGATTTTTGTTTTGTGAGTTTATTATTTATGTAATAAAATTATTTTAATAAAATGACATATTATTTATGTGACAAATAAGTTAATATAAATAAATAAATTAATTAATTTAAAAAAAAAAAAATCAAAAAATCAAAAATAATTTTCGGTTTGACAAAAATATTCAAATTTTTTAAAAACTTTAATATTTAAATAACTACTGCATAAAAAAAATTTTTTTTTTTTAATAAAACATTTAATATTCAAAAAAAAATAAAATAAAAAAATTTTTTTTTAATTCTATATATATAGTTAGATATAAATTTTTAAAGTTTGTCCAATGACTTTTGAGTACCCTCTATATTTATTTACTTGCTAACTTTAAAATAATTCAAAAAAAAAAATGTTTGCAACAATATAATAGGCCACTGTATTTAATAATACCGCATTAATAATTATACAGTATTTAAAAAAAATAATTTAATTCAATATTTATAAATAATAAATATTTTATTTTTTATTTGAAAATATTTATTTGATATTTAACTATGTATTTACCGATTATGTCGATGGATTATGTAAATGGATTCATTGTTTGTGGTCACACGAGTTGACATCGGATAAAAATTACCGGGCCCATTTTAGGATTGCGCGCGCACGTGTAATTGTAATTTGGCGCCCAAATGAGACCATTTCTTTAAAAGTCAACCATGTTTCCCATGCATATTCGATATAGCATAAATAAAAAAAATGGCGTAAGTTTTTGTCATCTTATATGACCATTCTAAGTCACGGAACCCCAAGTTTGGTTAAGATTTTCTCCCCAAAGACTATATCGGAACGAGATAACATACGACCAATGATTTTTTTAGAACCATATGGAATATGGCATGGAGATTGCCGACGAAGAAATTGCGGCGGGGAGAAGAAATCAGGCGGATTATGCATTTCTTTAGCTTTATATATCTCATTTTCATAGTGATATTAAAAGGAACAAAGTATCGCATATCACAACATCGCATTTACATATTTATTTACATACGATAAAGTAAAATACGCTAGACACTGTTAGGAAGTGAATTATTTGAATAGAATATCAAAGGTCAAAAAAAAAAAAAAAATCCAGAAAATAATATTCAAGTGTATATTAAAAAATAGATATTACAATCGTGATCAAGAAATGATACTCAGTTAAGAAAAATAATATATTAACAGTAATGGTAAGAATAAAAATGCTTCATGATGATGCGATGTGTGATTAAGAAATAAAGGACATTGTGTGAAGAAATTTTGAAAATGTGCCAATCTATTCCTATTAATATGCGTATGTGATCGCGCTCATCATTTGAAAGTTGTTCGCGATTAATTTATGAATTTTACTTGAATCAACAATAAAACGTGTATTGGTACGCGTCGAGTAATAATTTTCCATTTTAAGGGAATTCTTTCTCTTCCATTTCGCGTCCTAATCACGTGCTCAGATTTTAGTAGTGGAATTATTGGATGGATCACTCAAAAGGTTCGGAGTGGAGCTCATGAAGTTATTTGGATAGGAGAGCGTCCTCACGTGAGGTGTAGAGCTGTTTCGTTGACTGTACAGACTCATCCGTTTGCTGCTTCTGTTGTTATCATTAAAAACCAAAAAGCCATCTTTCAACACACCCTTTTGCATAACATGCGGCGACTGCGGCTTGGGGGGAGGTGGATTTGTTGTGCTCATGGGTATTGATGATGGGGCCGCGCTTTTGTTCCATCGTGAAATCGAAATGTACAACGAAGCTACAAATGTAGGAATCAACATCCAGGCAAAAGATAAGTTTGATAAAAATAGGCGACATCGGGTGAGTGCCGAGTTAGTTGTGTTGCTGCAAGAAAGAGATTCCCCGTGAAATGTCGGTGAAATGTTCAAGAGGCCTTTATAGGAAAGAAAAATAAGTGAAATCGTATACGAAAGGATGGTAACACTGGAAGAATATCAAAATTCGAACTTACAGATAGATAACCAAATTGCAAGGAAAAGGCTATGTTTTGTGAATACAATATTAAAAAGCAAAGAAAATAAGGGATCATTTTTTTTCGATACACAAAAAACTTGCAACTGACAACAGCCTTACCCATCAAAGAACATTTCATCGCGATATGGTCCATATCGCCAACGAGGTTTGAACCTTATAATTAGGTGTCCTAATAAATTTTTTTTTTTTTAGTGGCGCAAAAAAAAAAAATAAGGTCAATTTTTTAATGACTCTTACCAAGAAACAAATCTGACAATATTAAAGCTGTCCAATAATAACTAGTTGCTCCGTGGGTCCTAAAGAAATACGAGTAGGGCTAAATTAATCCTCATTTATTCCATCAAAATATTTCAGATCTACTTAAAGAGAGAAAGAACACTTACGGCTCATCATGATAATTAGCTGAGAATCCCACAACTGAAATGAATTCTGTTTTTAAGAAGAAATTAGTATACGATCGATCGTTCGTTAACATCAAAATGATAGTTATGAAAATTTACCCAACAAAGTTATCAAAGAGACCAACGCCAATTGAGAGATCCTCAAATAATGTAATGTTTCCTTTAACGTCATTTCTACTATTTTGTGGTAAACGTGTGCTCGTTAACAAAATTGTATCGTATCAAATATTATTTGCTTAAGCCGAAAGTTTTACGTGAGAAATAATAGAAATATTCATTTGTTTTTGTCGTTCGTTTTTGTATAAGAAAAGCCTTTAAGATATAATCTTTAAATATCTGGACGTAAGTATAACCTTATGACTTTTTGTTTACAGAACTACCGTACAGTACTCTTTTCTCCTTTCTCTTTTTCTTTTTTTTTAAAAAAAAGAAAGCTATGACCAATTAAGAGCAGTTTTTTTTTCTTTCAAAGACGAAGAAAAAAAGTTTTGGAGGAACACAAAATATGCTCAGGTAGCTCCAAAACTTGGAACTAGAAGAGTATTTATATTTTATTTTTTGTTTCCCATCTTGTGTACAATTACACAGTTAAACGTCATCATATAGTAATTTAAACATCTTTATAGTACTTTTTTATTTGTTCGGGAATATCAATTTATGTACGTCCAAAAAAAGTCTTTCGAACGTGCCGGAAGTAATGACACAGTTGATCTTTCTTTTTTTTTACTAACACGGTCAATCATTACCCTCCAATAATTCCGAATTTATTTAAGAATAAGTATTCCTCTCTCCTCATTAAGCTAAGATTGACGCGTCGAAACGAAAAAAAAAATTTGGAGAACCTTACCTCATCTTACCCCATACACTGTACCTTTTTATTTGATACATACCGATATTCACAATAAAGGTTAGTTGCTGTGGTCTTCACGGATTAGTTACTTTTCGCATGCAGTCTACGTGATTCTACCTGTTGTTAACGTCAAGATCAGAGATCCAAGACCAATAAAGAGAGACTTTGCTTTTAGAAATTCCTTCTTTCTTTTAAAGTTTATCAAGTCGTGGTTTAGCCGTAATGACAAACTCTTTCGACGCGATAAATATATTCTTCTTTCTTATCGCTATTTAGACGAACCATCAAGTGCTTGAAAATCTTTACTTGACCATCGCTGGCTATTTCTATGAGCCGATCCTGGTGGCTTTACCCTCTATACTACTATAATAACCGATAGAGCCTCCAAAAATAGGGTACTGTTACGTGAAACCGTTTTAATTCTTGATGAACCAATCTAAGCTTTTTGGAAATACGTCACCCGGAGCTTTTCTATTGCATGCAGGGTGCAGTTTAAATGAATAACGTGTGTGTGTAAGTGTGTACTACCAATAATATAAGCCTATCGAACATATCGATAATATGGTGACTTAATGCGCGTGTAACGATTCCACTTTATAAAGGAATCTAATAAATTACAAGAATGATTAAAGAATAGCTCGTATCACATTGGTTTCTCTTTTTCGCAGACAGAAGAAACTCGGCTTTTCCTGAATATAATGATTTGTTACATTAAATAAAACAATTACGTAGTCTCTGAGTTTTTCTATGAAGAATTTTTAGTGAGCAATAGAAAAGACGTAAGGATTCCTGCTTCAGAATCATCTTGACATTGTTCCACTCAGCGCATGAATACCCTCACGTGTATTTACAGCAGTGTGGATTTTTTAATAAATTTTGTTCGTTGAAATAATAAAAAAGAGTCAACATGATCATTTTTTGGAAATTTACTAGATAATTGCTTTTACCCTTCGTGAAAGTTGTCACATGTCATATTCTTGTTTGTGTAAATAAAAAGATCTCGTGTCCAAACACAGTACATGCATTGCTGTCACAGTTCCAGTGTTGATTTAACATATTGAATTTACTTAAGTGCTCAGTTGAGCTATGATTTTCGAAGAGTATATGGTGGTTTCCAATAATCATTCATTTTGACAGGCAGTTATTATTTTCTAAAATAACGATAATAAACTTCTCGTATCGACTATAATCTACGACATAACATTGTATGCTAATTATTACTTCAAATATTGTGGACTTAAAACCATCAAGTATGCTCATCATTTCTTTTTTGATCTAAAATGTTTTTTTGAGAAATACGAATATATACTGTATATATACTGTATATATAAATTTGTTTTAATTTATTATGTATCGTGATATTATGTAATGTATATTTCTTAATTTATTATGTATCGTGAATTTATATTATTTTTTGCTATATTTTTGTTTATCCATCTATAATTTAAGTAATGATATTTCTTTATATGTTTAATATAAAAAAATTCATATCATAATATTAAATACTATAATTAACAGCTATTTGAATTAATGTAAAAAATAAAAAGATACCATATATAAAAAAATATTATGAATATAATTTTTTTTAGATTATAAAAATATCAATTAATTAATAATAAAACATAATAAAAAATCTTTTTTTTTATATATAACTTTTTTACAAAAAAAATTTTTTTTAAAAAGTTTTTTTTTTTTTCAAAAAATTTTGACTAGTAAAATAAATTTTTTGAAAAAAGAAATATAATTGAAAGAACTATTATTAAGCAATAGAAGTTTTAAAAATAACTTTAATGTTTTAATAATAATATACTTAAATAGTTTTAATATTTGCAAAAATATTAATCAATAACTTGAAAAAAAAATAATAATATAATTCATATACAATATATTTTCTATTCAATAATTATATTTATATTAAGAGATAATATTTTGATTTTTTAAAGTTTATTTATTATTATTATTATTTTTACTACAAATAAATATAAAATATAAGACTTTATTTAAACATTAAATTTACTATTATTATATTAAGTATCTATTTAAGTTAATACTAGTCTATCACATATAAAATTTTTGAAACAATATTATATCAAATAGGTTATATTACTTTAAAAATGATTCATGAATGGCTTATGCCTATTTATAAACAGTTATATATGGTATTAGTAAAAGAAAAAATAAAATTTTTAATAATTGAATTTTAAATATGTTATTTGAATCCATAAAACCATAATAGCAGCTTTTTTTAAATGAAATTTTGTTGATTGGATTTTGATATTGTTGCTTGAACCTGTAAAACCATATAACAATTGATAAGGACTAAATAAGGTATTGTTATATTACAAGTTTTAAATGCCAAGGATAATAATAATTAAATATAAGAAGGGTTTAAAAGAAAGATATAAGATTTGGTATAGAATTCTTGTAGCATAAGATTTTATGTTCAAGTAATTAGGGCTTTTTAAGAATTTCTTTATTAAATAAATCTTTTTAATCTTTTATAAATAATTAGAATATCATTCGATCAGCTTTAAATACTCAATAGTAAAGTGAACTGTTTTCACTATATCAATTACAATATATTGTTGCTTAACAACTTAATAACAATTAACACTACAAGAATTGTCCTCCTTATATGATAATAATGTACACTTCCCTGACAAAGATTATCAGAATTTTTTATTTGTGTCACAATAATCAAATTTTTAACGAATTTTCAAATGGTGATTTCTCAATAATATATGTAACGATTTATGATAAAATTTTTTTATTAAAAAATTATATTACTAAATTATGATTTACATTTATTAATATAGGATATTCTTTTGCCTCAACTATAGTATGAATATATTGGAGTATGCTTTCAATTAAATTTTAATAAATTAATTCGTCTAACTTTAACTATTTCTCTTATAATAAATCAAATAAATCAGTTTTTATTTTTTGGCAGAGGAATATATTTACAGATACGACACTTTAACTCATCCTAAAGATGCTTAATAGGATTGAGGTCGGGCTTTGTGCAAACCAAGAAAGTTAATCAATATTATTTTCTGAAAACCAGCATAATGTTACTTATGCACGGTGAATCAGAGACCTATCATCTTGAAATAGATAGCTATTCTATTATCTAATCCTTCCAAATAAGGTAACAAATAATTTTGCAAGACATTTATATAATTATTTGCTGTTTGTTTACTATTAATTCGAACTAAAGGACCTAAACTATAATATCAAAAGCATCCTTAAACCATTGTACCCTTTTGGCCTAACTTAAATATTGGAATTAGGTATTTAGTATCATATTTTTCTTTAGATTTTCTTCAGATATAAGTGCAATCATTTTCTTCAAACACTTTAAATCATGATTTATTACTTCAAACAATAGACTTTCATTCTTCTTTCCAGTCCAATTTTTCATATACCCTATTTGAAATGTATTTCTGAATTTTTTTTATTTATAAACAGTTTTCTTTTTCTGATATGGCTATAAAAACCTTCCTTATGAAAATAATGTTGTATAGTACGTGTACAAGTCTTGATTAATGTTGATTCGATAAATTTATTGGTTAAAATATTCAAAAAAGATTTCCTATCCTCCTTTAAAAGATAAACAAAATAACAAAAATCCCATTCAGTTAGTCTGGATAATAGTCCAGGACGAGAAGAAGGTTTTGTTTCATCTGTTTTTTTAAAAAACACAATAATATCATAGACAGTGCTTTTCGAAAATTTTAGAGTTTTTACAATATAAAAAGCTTTTATTTTGCTCTTTCAAGCATCAATAATCTGATTATATTTTTTTTCAATAAGCTCCTTTCTTTTTTTTTTCCATTGTAGACAAAATTGAAATGGAAAAAAAAAATATCTATGAATAGAAGAAATTTCAACAAAAGTTTAAAAAAAAACTTAGGATAGGTTAATACAATTATTTGTAAATAAAAAAATCAGGAATAAACACGTCACTGGAATCAATCATACCCAATTTTGAAAATTCTGATGATCTTTGTCAGGGAAGTGTACAAGCCTGTCAAAATATTTATTCCAATTAATTTATAAAAATAAGAAAATTTATTAATAAAGAATTATTAAATTAATATTAGGATTTAAAGATAATTTTATTAAAGAAATTAGGAAAGAAATAAAGGTCAAATAATATAATTATAAAGATAAAGGAAGTTGAAGTAATGTCTTTTTGACCAGAAGGGCAAAATTGCCATCCTTATATATAGTTTGAAGTTGTATGATTATCCTTTACTTGTATATCAAAGATATTCTTTTACAAATCCATTTTTTGTTTCAGAATGAAATCCCTAAATTAC